TGTGTACATGTTACTGTCACACAGTACAGCACATGGCTTGGCCCTAACAAATACTTTTCAAATAAATGAATGAGCATTGCTATTAATTTTCTTTCTTTGTTTGTTTTTTTTTTTTTTTTTTGAGACAGGATTTCTCTGTAGTTTTGGAGCCTGTCCTAGAACTAGACCATGCTGACCTTGAACTCACGGAGATCTACCTACCTCTACCCCCGAGTGCTGGGATTAAAGGCGTGAGCTGCCACTGCCCAGCATAATATTGCTATTAATTTTGTACTGCATGAGGTACTAGTTAAGTGGTTGGATTTCTGCAGGTGTTCAGATATGTGAAAGGCTTTAAACAATAAGGTGTTGACTAAGATTACACGTGTGCCTCCTACGTGATGGATAAAAATGATAATGACTGGCAAACTCTAATAATCAGCAGTGTTCGTTCAACCCAAGTCTTCTTGAGTTGGCACAAATTCTATTTCAGGAATGCAGACCAACCTGACTTGGTCTTACTGTGGTATCTGCCCCTCATCAGATCTTGCATTGTCCCACAAGGTGGCTAGCACCTAACCTGGACAACCACCTGTCTCGTACTCTGCAGATGGGAGTTTGGGTATCAGCTAGCCTCCTCTTCTTGTCATCAGACCTCCAGCTCCCCACAGACCCAGAGCATACATCAGGGAAGAGAATGGGACAATATGCCCTCCACTAAATCAGATAATTCTCTTTGATGAATGTATCCCTCTCAGGCTCCATCACACCTACTCCTGTGGTCCTTCCTCTGAAAGGGGCCCGGGTCACTTAGATATCAACAAGTCCCTGTTGGATTAAAGCGAACAAGATGACAGACCTATAAATTGTATTGTATGATACAGAAAATGGCAGAATAAGTGCAGACAGCTCCTTGGCAAGGGTGAAAAACGTTTTCTGAACATTCAGCTTGCAAACTTGCATAAGCCAGCTAGGTGCCAAGCACATGGGTGTAACTAAACACAGAAATCTCTGCCCTCCCAGCACACGGTGTCGCCTCATTCATAGAGAAAATTCCATGTAGGAGTCTGAAGGATTGACCTCAGAAGCCATGCGTGGCTTACTCCTCAGTAACTCTGCCACCCTGGGAATTTCCTTGGTTACCCTGACTCTTGCATTACTTCCACGCTGATCAATATTGTTTTGATTTGAAATGGGGTGTCTTTCTATTGCTGCCCAAGTCACCCTCTCACCCCACCCTCCCATGTAGCGGGGGTACCGGCATGCCATTTTGCCTGGCTAGATATTTATTAGGCACCTGTCTCAATGTGTGCTCATCTTCCTTTCCAACCGTCTCAGCAAGGGTTGTCAGATGGTCAAACAATACTTCCGGGATAAAAGAAAGCAAATTCCATATGCAGGAGGCAGTAGGCCAGAGCCACCTTTTCTCTGCTTAGTTACAGAGACGAAATGAGGAACTGTAAATTAAAAGGAAGCTCTTTGGCTACGCACAGGCTGTAGGCAAGAACCGTAATTAAAATAGGCAAAGCTAAAGGCAGCTGAGAAGTCCTTCAGTTTCAAAACACAGGCAAGTCCACCAGCCAGTGAACCCTGTCCTCACACAATGAGGCTGAATCAGGATTTTAGTCCCTTGTGATTTTTTCCAGGTTTATTCTTATTGTGGTAAGAACACTTAACAAGAAGTTTTCACTTGTGCAGGCTTTTAAGCATATGAGACAATAGTGCTGTCTGGAGCTACCTGTGTTCAATGGCTCTACAAAGCTAACTCTCCCTGCACGCGCAAAGTTTTAACTTTGGTGGTGGTGACAGTGTATGTCTGTGGTCTGTGCATGTGTGTGCAGGTGCACATGTGTGAGTGTGCAGAGACAAAAGGGCATAACAAGTGTCTTCCCGGGTCTCTCTCCACTGGACCTAGAACTCATTGATTAACTAGACTGACTAGCCAGTGAGTCCCCGGAATCCTCCTGTCTCCACTAGTGTTACAGACACATACTTCAGCGACCAGTTCTTATGTAGGTACCTAGAATCTGAACTCAGTCAGATTCCTGTGCTTACAAAGCAAACAGTTTATTGCCTGAGTCATATCCCTAGTTCCTGTTGATTAGCTAGGCTCCTCCCACCCCCACCTCTAGCACCTGGTATAGCCAAATGTCATTCTCTTTTTCCGTGTTTGGCCATTTAAATTCTTAATAGAACTAGAATCCTGACAAACTGGTCACTCCAGGAGTGGGCTTGTTTCGTGTACCATTATGTCCACTAAGCATTTGTTTGACCTCTACTTCCCTGTGTGGTGTGTGTGTGTGTTAGAAACCAGCCTGCATCAAATCATTTTTTTTTTTCTTTTTGGTTTTTTGAGACAGTGTTTCTCTCTGTAGCTTTGGAGCCTGTCCCGGAACTTGCTCTGGCCTCAAACTCAGAGATTCGCCTATCTCTGCCTTCCGAGTACTAGAATTAAATGCGTGTGTCACCACCACCCAGCTCAAATCATAATTCTTAAACTCACCCAAGTGCTGGGTATGGAGGTGGCTTTGTAACTTGATATTAGAAATGATGGTGACATGGAAAGCTTGTGTGTCTGCCTGAGAAATGAGACAGTAGCATAAGTCCAGTATTTGGTTGCAAAATCAGTCTGGTCCTGGAGTCATAAGGACAGAAGACAGAGGGCAATGCCTGGAGCTCTGGGTTGCCAGCTTTAGAGGCAGATCAGGGCAGGCAACAAACCTGGAAACTCATGGTGTGGGGTTAGGTGGGGTGGCTTGTTTATTAGTAAGTGTGCGGTGAGAACGGAAATCTCTGAGGGTGTTTATAGGTCACTTTGGGAACCTAAGCAGAAGCAGGGTGCCAATCCTACTGGGTGACTGAGTCGGCATGTCTTCTCTCTACGTGCACACGCTCACAGAGAGGGAGATGGATGGGAAGAAAGTTGGCAGCTGGAGATTTTATACCTGTAGGGTTAGTCAGTGCTTTACCCTAAGTCTAAGCAGTTTCTGGGGTTTCTTGACTGTAAGGTGCAGTCTCTGGGTTTCAGCTTCTGGCTCACGGTGCTGTTTTTGAAGTAATGAGTGATGGAGAGTTCCGGAACATGGTGGTGACTGCAAACACACCCACACCCACCCCCCTGTCTCTCTCACACACATACCTCATTCAGGATGTTTTAACTAAATGGAAAATTTTGTATTAAGTCTGGGAAAGGTTGGTTCTTGACTCGAGACACTGTTTCACAGTGTGGATTTTTCAGCAGGGGCAGGGCACACCAGTGAGTTCACTTCATTCCACCAGAAACAGAGCTGAACTGGAGAACTGGAACCGAGCGGGCTTAAGTTAGTTTATGTTTGGGTGGGAAGGGGCGGGAGATACCACAACAGCTAATCCTGGAAAACAGAGAGACAGAATCTTTACTGTCAGACAAAGTACAATGATACCTGATTTAAAAACTGGGAAAGTCCAAATACCTAGCAAACAGTCTAACACATGAATAAATTAAGTACAATGTGCTGTTGTTTTGAGAGGTCTCCCTCAGTAGCTGCACTGGGCTAGAGCTCACCACAGAACCTAAGCAAGCCTCCAGTTCTTGGCAGCCCTCCTGCCTTAGCCCCCAAGTCCTAAGATTACAGGCTGAAATAACCACATCCAGCCTTATACGCATTCTTGTGCAGTTATTCACGATGCATAAACGAGTTGGAAGTTGAGCATGGCTGCATTGTTAAGGATAATCAACATCATGCTCTAGTGCCGTGACTCTCAACCTTCCGAACACTGCAGCCCTTTGGTACAGTTCCTCCTGTTGTGATGACTTCCAACCATAAAATTATCTTTGTTGCTACTTCATAACTGTAAATTTGCTACTGTAATGAATCATAATGTAGGTATCTGGCATGCAGGCTACCTGATGTGTGACCCCTGGGGAAGGGTCATTCGATCCCCATAGGAGTCATGACCCACAGGCTGAGAATCACTGCTGCACAGAATGACGTCAGACAAGTAAGGAAATAAGCATAGAAGAAAAGGAATAAGATATATCAGCGTGCTGCTCATAACCTGACAGCTCAATTACATTTTCCTTTGTGTTTGTGCTGTTGTGGTTTGGGTTAATCTCATGTAGCTCATGCTGTCCTCAAACCCACTATGTAGGCAAGGGTGACCTTTAGCTTCTGGCTCTCCTGCCTCCAGCTCTCAAGGACTGTTCCACAAAACCAGGGCCTCAGACATGCAAGACAAGGACTCTACCTCCCGAGCTACAGCCCAGGCCTCCTTTGCAGTTCTTTATGGGATTAAAGGCACGTGTCATCACCACCCAGCTTACATTTATTTTAGTTTTTTAGATTTATTTTTACTTTATGTGTGTAGATGTTATGCCTGCATGTATGTTTGTGTATCGCATGCTTGTAGTAGCCTCAGAGGCCAGAAGAGGGTGTCAGATTCTCTGGAACTGGAATTCAGTTATGAGCCACTGTGGGAGTGCTGGGTTGTCTGTAAGAGCAGCAAGTGCTCTCGACGGCTGAGCCATCTCTCCTGCCCCGCTTCACATTTATCTTCCAATTCTCCATGCTTTGTGTGTGCCTCTATGAAATGAGTGGAAGGGTTTTCTTCTTTTCTCTTTTTAAACTCATAAGAATATATATATATATATATATATATATATATATATATATATATATATATAACTTATTCATGTATCTGTAATAGATAGGTAGCCTGGCTCCTTACCATTTAGTAAGCAGATTCTAAAGAAACAATACCCTCTACTGAACTGTAAGAAATAACTGTCTTTGGCCTAAGCTCTTTGATTGGTCATTCATTAACTACTCAGGAGGTACTGTGTGTTCTGCTCCGTGTCGCCCATGTCCGGATCACTTCTATACCAAACAGGAACCGGGTTAACCATTACACTGTAGGTAAAGTTTCAGTTTTATAAAGTTTAATTTGAAATGAAGAAGAGCTGTGCCTTTGTTTGATTCATTTAATAGAATACACTGAACAGATGCCTAATACATCGCAACTGTGAAATCTAAAAACGAGTATATTTTTCTTAGCACATTTTCCCAATAGTATTTTATGGCTTTGGACTGATTTATATATTGGTATTACAGAGTAAGAAACTTTTTTCCATACATCTTAAATTGATAAACAAGCTCGAGATTCTTCTGTCTTTGGATATTAGGAGAATGCCAGGTCCATCTCCGTGGAGGGATGTGTCCATCTTATCCTAGAGTGAGGAAAAGAACATGTGAGCAAATGGGTTTACTTGGGGAGATGATCTTCAATTCCAACCCCATCTAATCTAAGTTTGGGTAGACTGAATTCTCATAGTGGTTCACATGCAGAGCAGAATGGGAAAGCCACATGCGTCCTTATAACCAGGAAACCATGGTACAGCTCCTGAGGCCCACTCACCAGCTACCTGGCATCTCCCTGACTCCTCCTACTTTCTCTCTATACCTCTGTTCAGATTTCCTGCTTAGCTTTACTCTACTAAGCCATTGGCCAAAACAGCTTCTTTAATAACCAGTGGTAATAGAACATATTCATAGTATACAGAGGGGAATCCCATATCACCCCACCTTATTCTTTGAGACAGGGTCTCTCCCTGAACCTAGAGCCCATTGATTTTGCTGGGCTGGCTGGCCAGGGAGCTCCGGGGATTACAGGTTAAATCAGGTTGCTTAAAGGCATTGATTTTTCTGCAGGTTGTAAATGGACTCACCTCTCAGAATCTAATACTGCCTTGCCACAGCCCTGGCATTTGAGCCAGGCTAACCACAACTGTGTGATTTGATGGTTTCACCCTGCCGTTCAGTGACCAGAATCTCTGTAAGGATGGCCAATGGTTACAGCACAGTCTTGGAAGTCAGAGGGGCATAGGCTGGTGATTTCCACTCCACTAGATCTCAGAGCAGGAATCACCATGTCCTTTCTATCACCAACTTTTTTACCAGGGAGGTGGAGCTTATTATCCTCAACTTTTGATCACGTGGACTGTACAGCTATGCGTGCCTGCTGTCCTGCTCCACATGTGAGCTGCACAGCCACAGCCATGGGAACTGCCTGTTGTCCTGCCCCGTGTGTGGTAAGCAATGGCACCTGCTTTATTATTGCCACTCCATGTTCCATGGCTCTCTCCTTTGATTTCCGTCCTTTAATCTTATGTCTCAGTTCTCAGCACCTGCATCGTTCATGTCCCACAAGTCCTTCCCCAGCCTCCGCTTTTGTGACGCTTGTGCTGTGCCCACACCTCACTTAGGATCAGTAGATATCCCAGTGTCTGGGCTCTGGGCACAGAAGCACTTTATGGTGGAGAGCACAGGTTCTGGAGATGAGCTTCCTGGATTCAAAGCAAGCACTTCCACTTAATAGCTAAGTAGACCGGGTAAATTCTTCAGCCTTTCTGTGCCTCAGTGTCCTCATCTGAAAGGTAGATTGTGTCTATTCCTTACGGTTGGTGTAATGCTTAAATAAAATGCTAGGAATCTGAAACAATGGTGTTTAGAGCATTTTCTGGGACAATTCCTATCCTAGTTAAGAGCACAGACACTGGGGCCAACTCAGAGAGTGTGCACTAGTCTAATCTAGGACCAAAGTCTGGATCCCAATAGCTACATCATAAAATGCCTTTAACTCAAGCTCCAAAACAACTAATTGTGTTTTGACCTCTGACCTCTGTGGGCATTTAGCAAACACACACACACACACCTCTAAAATATCTTTTAAAAGAAAGAAAAGAAAAGAAGGAAAAGAAAGGGAGAAAAGGACACCATGCTTGGCTTCTATGTGCTGCTATTTCACCCGGGGTCCCCTCCCAAGTGTAGATGTTCAGAACTCATGCCAGCTCCGTGGTCCCCACAGTAGCTGTGCATTGCCCCCGTGTCAAGAGCCCTGTCTCTTCCATACTCTGCTGCAGATACGTGACACATGGACACTAGGAAAGTGAGGACGAGCACGGCTTGTCTTCTGAAGAGCACACCACAGTCGACATGTGCCAAGAATAAGGAGACACTAAGGGATGCAAACAGGAGACTTGCCCTCACCTTCCCTTCATCACATTTAGAAGAAAGGAAAGCGCATGATTCCTCCCTGAGGGCCTGGCTGTGTACAAGAATCTCTTGTGCATAAGAAGTAAAGAAAATAGACGTATAAGCCTAGGTGTGAACTCTCTGGTGTCTGTAGAGGTGTGCTGCTTAGCCGGACTGCTTGAGTCCCAGGATGACAAAGTGTGACCTGACAGAAGCAAGCTGGGGAGGCCGACTCAGCTGAGGTTCTTAGCCCTCGGCCACTTGTTGGGGTGCCCGTGGGAGTCCAGGGTACAGGGTCTTACTTCTCAGCCCTCCGTGCCTCGAGTAGTACTTGGCTTGGGGGAGTGAACTGTTTCTGCTCTGCTGTCCTGGCATCATGCCTCCCACAGGCAGGTTCCTCTTGATGCTCCAAATTCCATCCAGGGCCACTGTGAACATGTTAAAAACAAGGCAGTAATCATAATGGTTTCCATAGAAAAGTCAGGTGTAAGTCTGATCGGTTCAGAACTGTGGGTGTCTGAAAAAGACATGTGGGCCTCTAAGTCACTAAAAGCACCCTCTGTGTACATGTTCCTGCCTGTCACTGCAGCTTCGTCAACTAATTCCCTTTTATTTGCATTTTACTTATTTTGTGTTAAAAGCACTTTTAAGCTATGTCTTTTAAATGTGTCTGAGGTTTCCTAACTGTCTTAACATTACATGTATACATTACATGTATACGCATTACAGTTACAGCAACCAATTTCCTTCAATCTGGGTTTTGTTAAGAGTGACTTCTATAATGGTTTGAAGGAAAATTAAAATGTATTAATCTCTATTTGAAAACTTGAAAAAAAAAAACAACAAGGCAGTGAGAGTGAGCGGGGCATTCCCTTCCCAGCACGAAGCGTTTCAAAAGTCTTTTCCTTGATGATTATGCTTCCAAATTCATCTGGTAAAGGTATATTTGACTTAATCAAGCCACCCTAGGACTTTCTCATCTTTTTAATCTTTAATACAGTTCATGCATTCATCTATTACTGCGTGGAATTAAACCACAATATACTGTTAAGCTCGAGTCTCCACAAAGACATAAAAAGTCAATACATATACAATACATATGGCAAAAGAAAGAATCAAAAATACATATACATATACAATACATATACAATACATATGGCAAAAGAAAAGAATCAAAAATAAATAAAACAAATTCTGCATATTATTCGGTTTTCCACATCTGATTCTAATTTAATTCCTTCAATAAGAAGAAATATTTCCACAGATGAGGAAACCATTCACAACCAGGCAGTGGCGCACACCTTTAATCCCAGCACTGGGGAGGTAGAGGCAGGCAGATCTCTGTGAGTTTGAGGCCAGGTTGATCTACAGAGCAAATTCTAGGAACAGCCAGGGCTACACAGAGAAACCCACTTGAGAAACCAAAAAAAGAAAGAAATTATTTACAAGACTGAAGAATCTCTTAAAAGCCATGAGCCAGGTGTGTCTTAAAGTTCTAGGTGTGTCTTAAAATTCCATGGCCGTTCACTGGCTCCTGCTGTTTGAGTGTTGAGCCCCTGGGAAATGGGGTCTGCACTGTCACCTGGCAGGTGGCAGGAGGATGTCTGCGCGTCAGCACGTGCTGAAGCGTTATCAGTGTTTTTGTGCTTGAATCCATACTAAATTGTCTGTTTAGGGATTTCCTTAACCTCTGTGCTGGCTGCTTCTATGTCAGTGTGACACAGCCTGTCATCTGGGAAGTGGAACCTCAGCAGAGAAGGTGCCACCACTAGGTTGGCCTGTGGGGGAATTTTCTTGATTGGTGATAGGTGAGGGAGGGCCCAGCTCACTGTGGGTGGTGCCAAACTTGAGCAGGTGGGGCTGGGGGTTATGGGAAAGCACACTGAATAAGCCAGCAAGCCCATCCCCCCCCCACCCCAGCCCTGACGTCCCCTGCTGATGAAGTGTGACCTGAGAGTTATATAGATATCCCTTTCCTCCTCAGGTTACTTTGGTCATGGAATTTATCACAGTGACAGCAACCCTGAGCAAGACAATTTAACTACAGAGGAAGGCGCAACCCACGCTGACTGAGTTAGTAAGCTCAGGTGAGCTGCTATGGCTTCTTGGTCTGATTTTGAGCATGTGAATTGTATTGCTGAATACTCTTCATAGACCCAGGGCTTCCCACCCAGAGCAGTCTCACTGACACTCTCATGACACTTGGTCCCTCCATAAAAGATTCTGCTCTAAGTAATGCCTAGGAAGGAGTGCAATCTCTGGGCTCAGAACAGAGTGGGGCTTCAGGCCAAGCTCGCCCATCACCAGCCGTAAACCCTGGGCAAATTGTTTTAACCCACTGTGTCTAGTTCCTTAGATCTGAAGTGGGCCTAATAATCCCACCTTGGAAGGCTCCTCTCAGATGTGGATGAAATGGACAAAGTGCTTTGTGTTCAATTAACAGTTGCTATCGTCTTCACAAGGACAGTGACTTTGCTGTCTGAGGGTGAACTCAGACCTCAGACTCCAGGGCTGCAGCGGGACAGCTTGCCAAGCTGAGTGCTACATCAGTTAGCAGGGTGTGTGTGTGTGTGTGTGTGTGTGTGTGTGTAGCTGAAGCCGCCAATCAAGATGAGTGTGTCATCCTTTCTCTAGGTCCTTAAAGGAAGACTTCACAATCGCCTCCTGTTGAGATCTTACGAAACTAAAACGGTTCTTCGCATCTAACCTAAATCTCTCCTCCCTCTCAAGTCAGTTTCCTCTTCTGTCCTGTCTAGAGAGAGCTGCTCCTTCCAGCTGCTGCTCCCAAATGCAGGTGAAGACAGCCTGTAGAGAGGTCAATAAAGCAGCTGGAGATTTGCCCTATGCAACGGCAAAGCCCTAGCAGGTAGAAAGCAGTGTAGGCTCTAGAGCCAGGCTTCTGCAGACAGCCACAGCGAACTGGATGTCAAAGTGTTCACCTGCCAGCTTTGGCTCTGGTCTTCTTGATCCACCTAGAGGAGCACTGAAGGTTACAGCTGAACAGAAAACACTCAGAATATACACACAGATGCTAAGAAGTAGTTAAAACCTCAAAGTGAAATACAGTTGTGCATAAATGCTCACTGCTTTCAATGATGAGGGCTGAGAGAGAAGCTATTGACAACACTGTTGTCTATTTGATGAGACACTTGAGTGAAGAGGTTACCAGAGCTGAAATACTCGAGAAGAACAAGGCACTAAAGGCCTGAGAGGCAGCTCCCCTCTTGGGGGAAGTGACCTCTCTGTGTTCCCGGCATGCAGGCACCTTTAAGAAGGTAGCAGGATGACAAGGCAGGGGCAGAGCCAGGAAGGCCTCAGAGTTGGCATACCAGATAGGAAGGGAAAAGAGCAGCAGGCACTAGAGACCCAAATCCTGTCCTAGAACCTCCTAGAGATCTTTTCTTTCCTTGGGTCCTTGATCATTCCAATTCAGAGACCTTTTTCTGTGCATTTTTATTCTAAATTTAAACATTATAAGACCACACATGCTTTCCATAACCCCTAGAGAATCTAGCCAGTCTCCAGGTTGATTTTACGGGGAAGTTAAACTTATCTTTAAAAGTATGTTTTTGATCCTCTTGGCTGTGTGGACTGAGTGATGAGTGGGAGGGCCTGGAAGGCGGTGGAGCCATACTTCCCTGTGTAAACATGTTCAGAGCTTTGACCAGGGAAAGCAAAACTTCAAGTGACTGTAATTTCTGCTCAGTGACTTCGAGGCCCTTGGCCTGCCAGTTGGTATGTAATAACCCAAGGGGTTACATTGTATACATTGTAGATACACAGATCTGACAGGACTTTGGGGGGCAGGCAGAGGATCAAACCCAGGCAGGACCTTGTGTATTTTAGGCACGTTCTCTATGACTGAGTTGTATCCCCAGCCCCCTTTTTAGTTCTTTTTCTTCTGTTTTTTTAAAAACTATTTATTTTTACTTCATATGTATTGGTATTTTGCCTACTGGGTCCAGATTACCTGGAACAGGAGTGACAGACAGCTGTGAGCTGCCATGTGGGTATCGAGAATTGAATCCTGGTCTTCAGGAAGAGAAGTCAATGCTCTTATCAGCTGAGCCATCTCTCCAGCCCACCTTTTCTGGTTGCTTAAGACAATAAAATATATATTGTGTTTAATATAATACAAGCTTGCCTCAAACCCTCTGTGTAGCCAAGAATGACTTTGAACTCCTTGATTAGCATGGCTTTCACTCAAGTACTTGGATTAGAACAAGCTCCACCAGGAGCAAACCCAGTCCCAGGACATGGACAGATCAGGACTGAGCCAGCGACCAGATCCAGAGTCAGTGATCTCCACCACAACAGGTCCAACTCCAAGCCAGGACTTCTGCAGGAGGAGATCCAGACCAAGATTTACAGAAACAGATCAAAGCAAGCAGCCTAGGCCAAAGTAGGCCTGAGACAGCAAACTCCAAGGGAGCAGACCAAAGCACAGGAGCACTGAGCTACTCCAGGAACAGGAATCATCAACGGGGTAACTAGAACTGTTCCATGAGGAACACCCATCTGAGCTTTGGATTCACTGACACCTAGAAGATTATTCCACAGAATCTCAGACAGCCCCAACCACACCTATTAGAGGAAAAGATGAGTAGTAAAGGTAAGATCACATGCTACATCACAAAGAGCAACACAATATCGGTATAACCTAAAGACCCCACAAAAGCAAGACCTGAACAACCAAATATGGATGAACCAGAAGAAAATGATCTAAAAAATAATCTCAAGAGAATGTTTGAAATTCTTAAAGATGAAATGAGAAATTCCCTTAAAGAAATGGAGGGAAAAACAAACAAAAAATTGGAAGATATCAGCAAATCACTTAAAGAAAGCCAAGAAAAAGAACTCAAACATATAAAAGAAACTATTCAGGACTTGAAAACTGAGATAGGAAAAAATAAAGAAAACACAAGCTGAAGGAATTATAGAAACAGAAATCATGAGAAAAAGATCAGGAACCACAAATGCAAGCATGAACAACAGAATACAAGAAATAGAAGAGAGAATCTCAAGCACTGAAGATACAATAGAGGAAATGGATTCATCAGTTAAAGAAAACAAATCTAATAAAAGCTTAATCCAAAATGTTCATAAAATATGGGACACCATAAAAAGGCCAAATCTTAGAATAATAGGTATAAAAGAAGGATAAGTTCAACTCAAAGGCACAGAAAATTAAACAAAATCATAGAAGAAAACTTTCCCTACCTAAAGAAAGATATGCCTATGAAGATGCAAGAAGCTTACAGAACACCAAAGAGACTGGATCCAAAAAAAAAAAAGTCCTTTAGCCACATAATAATCAAAACACTAAACATATAGAGTAAAGGAAGAATATTAAGAACTGCAAAGGAAAAAGGCCAAGTAACATATAAAAGTAGAGCTATCAGAAATCCCCTTACTTCTCATTGGAGAC